TATGCATCTCTGCTTCCAGACCAAAGATGGACTTCCAGTGAAACTTTTAACTATATCTTGACCATAGGATGTTGGACTCTCTGCCATTTCCATGCTCGCAAGGATGGACAAATGACTGTTTATGAAGAACTACAGTAATATAGGGGAACTCAGTGGCAGGGGGAGACTTGAGGAGAGGGGAAGGGAAATTTCAGGGCCTATGTAACTGCATCATAAAATAATAATAATAAAAAAGTTAAAAAAAAAAGCTTCAAGTCACAAATCCATCATTGTTCTATTTAAGTGTATCATGACATTGTAGGTATAGACAATGGTAGAAACTCTTGCATCCTGTTGTCAAGAAATATTTAACAGCCTCATTGGAAGTCCCTCTTAGATTTGGAGTTGAGGTGTGTACTGCAATGTTATATTCACTTCTTGGTATGCTAGTCTCCAGTACATAGTTCCTCTAGCTGAATAGATATACACAAGTTTACCTATATATCTACTGATCTTATACTTTGCATGAAAGTTGCCTTATATCAGAAAGAACATATGATATTTGTCTTTTTTGGGTTGGCTATGTCACAGAGCATAAAGGTTTCCAGCTGGGACCACTTTGCTGCAAATGAAAGGTAAATGAGGGTGCCAGGTAGGTAAATGGTAAGATATATTTCATTAGTATTAAATAAGATGTGTTCTCAACCCCTACTTTTTGTTATTGAAAATGTGCTTCCTCCTAACTTGATGACCATTTTAACAAGCCACATGGCTATGCTTGGTTGTGGCCCTCAACAATCTTTCTTTTCCCTCTTCCCTGCATCACTGATTAGCAGGATTTGTCAATTCCACTTCCACAATAGCCCCCACAGCTAACTCCTTTCTTTCAAGTTCACTTTCACTCGCTCTGTTTCCTGGGAATGTTCTTAAAGGAACCGTCATCAGAGTTACCTTATCCTCCTGCCTCTTGCACTTCGCTTATACGTAATGGAAGTGTCAGTCATCTTGTGAGGGAGTGACTGTCATTGTAGGATTTGTCCTAGCCAGAATGCTCAGACATTAACACTCAGAGAAGGAAGATCTTAATAAATTGATGAATTGAGCCAGATTCCACCCTGGCTGGCATACACAAGAGTCAGGCTAGGGTCACCTCTGAAGAGGTTCCTTTGGGGACTCCACCAACTGCATCATTGAACTCAAAACTCTAACCACGATGAAAATCACAGGCTTTGTGGTCTGTTCATGAAGTGTGTGCGTCAGAACAGGGTCTCCATGGTTGCTGAGGCCTGTGTGATGGACGGCATACCTAGATGCTTATGGGGGACATGACAACCAGTTCATTGAAGCCTACTGAGGACATCTAGCACCGTGGAGGGCAGGATAAAGTAGACAGCTATCCCAGCCAACTTTTGATGTTGAATATCAGGTGAGTAGAGACTCTAAGGTGGACTATGTCAGCCAATGTACCGTGGAAAGATTTCTTTAACCTTGCAGCAATGAAATCAACAGTATGTCAGAACTATCAAAACCACTTAAAGAGTATTCTTGCAACCTGCTCCACATTGGAGACCCTGGATGACATTGGGCGGCTTCCCCCATCCCCAGGTACTGATGCAATTGGGTTACTGGGAGTGGCCCTCTCTCTTTTTCTCCCCACTTATCCAGATACAGGAAGGAAAAGGAGATTGGAAACAGTTGTCACATCTGTTTTCCCCCATTCCTTGGCCTTCCCCACCCCCATCCTAACTGGTGGTCCATAAGGGCATGCATCCCTCTCAACTATGTAAACATTGCCAAAAATAAAATAACATTATCATTAAAACAAATCAATTAATTAATTGATTAAAAGATTATTATAATCCTTCCTTAGAAGAGCAGACTCCATGAAATGCAGAGGCTTCCAAAAGTACAATTCTGTGTTTGCTGTCATACTTACTGTTCATGCTGAAGACAAAATCAGACATTTACAGCCAAGGTGGTTGCATGCTCCCTCTGAGAAATTCAGGCTTGAAAAGGATGTGTGTCAGAAGGTGGAAGGTGAGGCCTGTTGACACAGATGTTATGAAAGAGAAGCCAAGGTCAGGAATAGAGCAGATGGACCAAAGACCAGAGTAAGCTGAGGCCTTTGAGGAATAAAAGAGGCTAAGACAACAGAGAGCTTTCAGTTCAGAACTAGCACAAGGCAGAGCTTCGGTGCTTGAGGCCCATGGCATGATGTTGATGGATGGCATGAAGCAAGCAGAACTCCTTTCCTTCCATTTACTCCTGTCTTCTCTGTCAGGGAGAGTGATCTTTGGACTAAATAGGGTAGAATGAACATTGTTAGAAAATTGAAGCCCAAGATGGGTGACGAGATTATGCCGGAGCATGTGTCCCCTGTAAATGAGCCCAAGTTTTTGACTCAAAATAAATTACGGTGCAGGAGTTTCTAGAAACAGCCACTCACTTAAGCAGGAAGAGCTTTGAGGATGGATCAGGGAAGAGAAGCAGACGGACCGGAGCTTGGCAAAGGCCATACCTGGGAATTTTAGAATCTCAGTGTGGGCAGAGTGCCTGATACCTATGTACATGGAGAGGGGCTTTGTGGTCACTTAAGAACTCTGATGTCAGACCCAGGTTATGTATCCAGTAATGGACCCTCTTCCTTTATCCTTTAACATCCTTACTGTGGAGATTGTTTTACAGTTGTCAAAATCCTACAGCCCTTTCTGTTTTTTGTCCATAAACTTCTGTTGTGTGCATGCTACAAGAAGACTTGAGAATGTTTATAGGAAAATTGGCATTTGTAACCTGTTTTCCATGAACCCTTTGAAGATGCCCTCAGGTATTGTTGGTCTGTAGGGAAACATAGGATAGTGTGCTTGGGACTATATGTTAGTACTCAACTTCAGGAAAACCATCTAAATTAGTTACTAAGTAGAAATGGCAAGTTGAAAACTAGGAAAGGGATTTCTGCATTCTATTTTCTTTAGCTTTTTTTTTTTGATGCAAGTTAATATTTTTAATGGCTCAATAAGTCCCTGACCTTCTCCCTAGCTTGAGTGTTTCATTAAGAATTTGAGAACTGTCTGAAAAACATAATCATCCAGGAAGATAAGGCTCTAACTTTTGCTTTCCGAAGAGGAAATGGGGTCTAACTTCAGCTGACCACTAACTCCAACTAGTAAAGCCTGCTTAATATAATGGGATGCATTGACTTCACTATAAGAGCGAGAATTCTTTCTTTGCAATCTTTTTAGTGGAATGCTTGTGATGTGTATCACTTTCTGGCTTAATGCTTATTCAATAATAGAACAGTGTTGTTTCTCTTCTGACTCTGTCGATAGATTGGATTGGGAGGAGTTTTTGCTTTTGAGTCTATTTCTCCAAGAATGTCTACAAACCAGACAGACACTGTGGATAAAGCATTCAATAAAATAAAAACTCTTATGAAGCTTATATTCTAGGGGAGATTGGCATCTATAAGAATAGCATCAAAGTAAATTCTCTAGTAAATGAGAAGGTACACATGTTACATGACTCATGTCAATGATTGATTACAATATGGAAATGTAGTGTTAATAGGGAAAATGGGTATCCCAAGGAGAAAGGGACAGATGCTCCTTGAGCAGTTGAGCATTTTCATGTTTGAGCTGAATATTAAAAGTTTGGTTTGGAAAGTAGCTGGTTGCTTTGGGGACGGAGCTGGTGTTCCAGGGTGTGGGAGATATCCAATCAGATAGCATGGTACACTGGGGAAAGTCCAATTGATGACATCTTCTCCCTTGATACCAGGAACAGCCAGAGGTAAGAATTTTCTTTTTTCCCTCCATCTTCTTTTCCTTGCTTCTCCCACCCTCTGTCTCCTCCTTTTCTAAGCTCTTGCAATGATTAATAACTGCCAACTCACACTGAGCTCGCCATCAGCAAAAATTATTAACGTTTTCCACAAGCATTGTCCCGGACCCTGTCACTCTACTGCTTGTTTGCGGAAGTGCTTTTTTATTCACAATACTCTGGTCTGAGTTTTTGTGTGTTTGCATCGTGCTGTCCAAGCCAGTGGTCCAGGAGGGCTCATGCAGAATGTTTGCGTATGCTCCCAAAAAACAACTGGGAGAGACACAGGTTTATTCTTATGGGAATGGTCAATGCATGGTGCTGATCAGTCAGTAATCCACCTTACCTTGTCAGACAGCAGCACAGTATTAGCTAGTAATCAGTAAACAAGCGCAGATGGTTCAAGGTCAAAGCAGCTGGGCACCTTTCCCTGTTGTGCTACAAGGGTGTGAATCAAGGACAGGAACCACAGCTGTATCCAGTTTACAGCCATTTCCCCCCTCCCCCATTAGAGCCTACTTAAGATATTTATCCCAGAGAGGGTGGGAGTTATCCTGGAGGCCACCCCTGGACACAGAGTCTTCTTACAACAGAAGTGCTATGTGATGAGCTTCTCCTGCATGATGGGTTTGTTGAGTTTTGGGTATGGGGTGGACACCTCTTGTGTGAGGGTCTTAAGACCTGCCAGAGTGGTGAGATCAGAAAATCCTTGTTTAATGGTCTGTTCCAGGGAGAAGGGCTGTGGAAGGTGAGAGTGACCTCCCTGCTTCTGCTGCTTTCCTCCAAATCCTTTGCTTTGAAATATTCATGTCTTGGAAAGGAATATCCTCAATCCAGTCAACTTCATTTTTGTGCGTATGCGCAAGAAACATAGAGTAAAAATAATTTAGAGGAGTGGTTGTTTGATCCAGATGAAAAGCCATGCTTTCCAGTGTGCCTTCCATGCCTGTATCTGTTAGGGTCATGCAGTCCTGGGGAGTGTTTACTGAAACTTGAGCAGATTTGTATCTTCCAGTTTTCATGAGATCCATGATATCATGTGGCCCCCATGACATATAGTGTCGATAAGCAATTTGGAATATACTGGTTTGTAATTAGATTTCCCAGAAACAGAGTATTTAATTTTTCATTAAATGTTCATTTTCACTTTTAAGCCCATCAGTGTCAAAATATTCACTACAGATATAAAAAAGTTATCAATAGTATGTTTAATAGTTGGCAATTTATGCAGCGTACCATTAATGTTAACACCACTGTAACAAGAGCCATTAGACTCATTTTCATATGCTGTGCCACAGGACAGCTTAACCTCTATTTCCCATAAATATTTCACGTACTCCTAGACTAAAATGTCCCAGGCTTTCTGCTGACTGTAATGAATGGTGGCCTGCTGACTTAAAGCTGCTCCCAAATTGAGGTCAGGGTCACCACACTCTTACTGTTATACCAAGGAGGCAACAAGTTGCAACTGCACCAAATCATCTAACGCACTGAAGTATCTAATGCATCAAATCATCCTAAGTAATTGTCTGCAATTGCTAGTGACCCAGAAGACTTCTTTTGTTAAGTGAGTACCCTATAAGGGTGTTAGGGAAATGTTAGTATGTGGTATTGCAAATTGAATTAACCTGTCATAAATGGTGAGAAGGTTGGCTTTCATCTGGGGCCAACACCTGGGGAAGAGAAGAGACATGGGACTAGGTAGAAGAAGATGTCCAACTGTGAACTCATCTTGACGGGGAGATCTGGAGCAAGCGCAGCCTGTATAAGACATGTCTTAAGCTGGGCAGAAGTGGCTGAGCATTTTTGCCCAACTTCACCCAGTCACCAGGTACAGACTGTGCTGGAAAGGGTCTGCCCTTTGAAGGGGGAGTTCTCTGCAGCTGGTTGGACCCTGAAGAGGCTGACAAGCTATACAGTCCCTGTATTGCCCACAGGTGGGCTAAATTCCTTCCTTAGTCCCTGTGCTGCTCATCTTTATCTCCCACAAGTTGTATATAGGTATGATTACCAAAGATAAGACAGGCTCTCTCTGTGCATGTTCTGATCTAATGAGACTGAGAACTCAACTCATTGATGTTAATTCTGCATGTATTACTTCACAGTCCCCTGGGAGGAAGTGAAGCACCCAGTGCGATTGAACCAGTCTTCGACATACCCGGGAAGCACACTTGGAGATGAAAGTGCAGTGAGTGAGTAGGGGGCTGCAGGACTAAACAGAAGGGTAAAGTGGCTTGTGACTCAGTCTCAGGCAAGGCCAAGGCCAAGGGGATTGCAGAAACCGGGCAACGGGGCCAAGTCTTTCTACCTCCACATAAACCTGGCATTGGCAAGGATGCCCTGGGAAAAGGTTGAGATCACCCTGCCATGGCTGAGATGACACTCTTCATCCAAGGCAGTTTTGATGAGGGTTGAAAACTGGGGCTTTCTATCAAAGTGCCCCTCATAGCTGATAGATTCATCTACCTGAACAGGGTTGTGGGGACACATGTCTCAGTATTTGTTCCCCAAATCCACAAAATCCATCCTAGCTAATGTCAATGCTTCTGTTAATAATGTTTGGCTTTCAATTTCTTGGACAAATGCAAAGAAGATACTGAGAACAGAGTGGGAGGAGATGTAAACTGGCATTGTCCCTAAGCACCTCAGGGGAAAATCACCCTGCTGTACTGGATGTTCAAGGTGACATTCCTAGGATGAAAGAAGAGGCTGCCTGGGTAGGTAAGCAGCAGATTCAGAAATCTCCATTGCTGGCTTCCTTGATATTACTGAAACACAGAAGGAGGTAAGGGTATGATTGACTCTATTCTGTGGAGTGTCTGGTGGCAGTGCTATTGTGCTCTGTAGAGCTCCCTGCCCACACATTCTCTCCTCCCCATTTAACCATGCCTGCTGCCCTGTTCTGACTCAGTTGACGCCACTGACACCAAGGACCATCTCTGGCTGAGGGCTCCGATATATCCAGGGCATGACTATTTGGCCTCCCTCCCTGTAGGCTGTGAGCACAGGATCTTTCACAATAATTGTAAAACAGCAACTCATCCCCACCAATTCTAGCATAACACCTGAAGAGCCCATGCTCTTCCCAATGAAATTCTTCTGCCAAAAAGAGCATGGTGAGAGCCTCACTACCAAAGGGAGGCTGGTGTATTTTGTTTCATTATGAACTTCAACCAGGGTCAAGAGCAGGTTAAAATACTTTTTGTGTAGCTCTCAATCATTGTCATGCCTGCAATACAGTGCTGCAGAACAATGTGTAGAACACAGTGGAAGAGCACTGAAGTAGACATTGTGTCTGGGCCCTTGATGTTCTGGTCCTCCAGGGACCGGGTCTTACTCATTTCATCATTTCTTAGAAAAGAGCCCACTGGGGCTGGTGCTGTTCTGTAGCAAGGCAAAACCCCTGCCTAAAGAAGCAGGATGACAAATGGGTGCCTGTTTGTGCCCTGGCTGCTCCACATCTAGGCCAGCTCCTTGCCAATGCCTGAGAAAAGTAGTGGGAAATAGCATTCGTGTTTGCATCCCTGCCGCTGTGAGGATGCTGGCTTTGGCCTGACCCAGCTCTGACACTGATAGCCATCTGGGAAGTGAACAGTGGATGGAAAAATTTTCTCTTTATCTCTCGCTCTCTCCTTCTCTATCTGTAACTCTTTTGAATATATATATATATATTTTATATTGAAAAGTCCCCCTGTGAGAGAGTGCTTAACAAAACTTTTCCCCACTCTGTTTTCTTCCTGTGTATAGTTTCAATTAGTAATGAAGAAAATGGGCTCCTACAATGAACTTTGTGCTCTTCTCATCAGACATCAGGATTGACCATCTGGTTTTGAGTTACTTCTTTCATTTGGATTTCTCAGTTTTACCCCCTTTGTTACTCTCTCCCCCCTTCTCTTTCCATTCTTCTCTTGAATGTAGAATTCTAGTCTGTGTCATTACCGTTCAAAATTACTTATAATTCTTTTGTATTTTCTACCAGGATCCCTAATATCTAGGTGTTGTGATGAGGGTGGTAGCAAGCTGTAAATCAGCTTATTTCATGTTCATTTGATCCCTGAAAGATCATTAATGAAACTTGGAAAAATGAAATAGATCATGTCATTCTCCAGCTTAAAACTTATCAATCACTTGCTGTTGCACTTAGATACACTGCTAACTACATATATATATATATATATATATATATATTGTTTTCTTAAAACATCCTATAAGATACCCATCTTTCTATTCAACCACACTTCATGCTGCTTTTCCCTTCACTCAACAATCCCTCTGTTTTGCCTTATTAGTTATTGATATAGGTTTTGCCTTGGCCTGAAATGGCTCTACCTCTTCCATTGCCACTCTGACATCAAGTTGATGGGATTGTTACAATTCTAAGGCATTTTTCTGATTACCTTATTGAGAACAGAGCTCTACTCCTTCACTCTCATATCATCCTGCTTTACCATCTGTGTGACACTGTTCACAATGGGGATTGATCCTCTTAGGTGATGGTGCCAGATTTTGCCTTGTCAGTGACCATGAAAGCCACTCAAAATTGACCTTATTTGGAGGAGATGAAGTCACAGAGTCAGGCTAACTGTTTGTACTCCAGAGGAACGGGGCCACATTGCTAATTTCCATCAGATGATTTAGTTCAAGCAGGGAGTTCTGCTCTGGTGTTTTGAGATATGTGATAAGGCTGAAAAACAGTCAACAGGGGTCCCAGTAATAGAATGAACAGGCTCTCCATCTGCTCCAGCTTCCTTGAGCTACAGATCACCATCTCGCCTTTAAATCTAGCTTACTTACTGCTCTCATTGTCTTCTAGACTGATTTGGGCTATAAAAGCTTTTGCCTAGAGATGTGAATTGTTTATGCAAACTGTGGGCTGCGACTGTGCAATAGATCCAGGCCTTTGCTTTATGATTTCAGTCAAAACAGAATTAAAGGCTCATAATCACCCTTGTTCAGAAAGCAATGTGAAATATTTTAAAGTTCACATTTTCATTGATCTTTTGTCATGACTAGGAGTCAAGTTCCAAATGAGATGCATTTTCTGTAATGCATGTGGCGTTCTGTCCTGAAATAGCTGGTGTCTTTGTCATTCTGATTTGCTGGGCCGACAGTTGGAAATTAAACAATAAAGAATAAGTTTCTGTACATGACATTTCATTTTTGGATAACCAGCAACCCTAATTCTCAGGCATTGGGATTAAGTATATCCATCTGCACAGGTGCCCAGAAATGAAATGAAACGTCACTTAAAGCAGTAGACACACTTCATTGCTATTATGCCCCAAACTTCCCTCCCATAAAGTATTTTACTAAAAGTAAATGAGAAACCAAAACCCATACAATGGTTGTTTAGGCAGTTTTAATGGGTATTGGGATGAAACACACCCCAACAGTCCTTCCATGGGTATTTACTGAGCACAGAACTGCTGTATCCTTCTTTCCTCATCATTGGTGGTGTATTGAATCAATTCAACTTATAAATCTGTTTAAAATCTGTGAGGAAGTAACTTTTGTTTCTATTTGTAAGTGTAGTATCTGTTCCCTGAAATGTTTACCCTCTGGCTCAATCATTCTCCTTTTTCTCATCATTTGGTTGCTCATTGAGCAAATATTTATTTATATGCTACATTACTCTGCTCTTTTTCAGTGTGATGATTGTGAGCATAGCAATCAGTCTCTAGACCCTTATGAAATTTATAATTCCCCCAAGTTGACAGACAACAAAAATAGCAACCACAGCAGCCAAAGACTATCCTAAGTGAGGTCACATGTTAAATCACTGAATTATCACGTAAAATGTGGGAAGGACTTATCAGATAAGAGTTATTATGACTTACTGCCAGGGACTGGGGCTTCCACAGACGGAGTCAGTGTCCACAGTTCAGTCCTGAGTGCCTGGCTTTGTCAGCTTTCTAGGTGAGAGCTTGCATAGCCTTTTCTAGATCAGAAATGATAGATTGGTGAATGACACTGTTTGCAAAATGACACCTTCCACTCTATTCCAATGGCAATTAGATTGCTGTGTGATTGTGAGCTTTTTAACATGTTTGTGCTTTGGTTTTCATAGTTGTAAGTTGACAGGAAAGGTTCCTGCTGCCATACTTGTGTCCATACAAGTACCACTGTCCCTAGGTGTCTGTGAGAATTCAGGGTCCCTTGGCTGACACCAGAATCTGTAGAGGACCAAGTCCCTGATTTAAATGGCATACTATGTACATGTAAATGTAAATACACGTATCTTCCTATCTATTTGAAATCATTGCTAGGTGGTTTATACTACCTAATGTAACAGGTAGTGAAGAGTTGGCAAGAGAAAATCTGTACAAGTTCAGTACAGACACAAATTTTTCCCCAGATAACTTTGATCCAAGGAAGATTGAATATGCAAATACACAACCTACAGATGTGGAGGGCTCTCTGCATAACATTCTAGATATGAACCATGCGTATTTTTATATGACAGTGGCTACATCAGTGATGCTATGTGTATGCGCGTGTGTGGGCATACACAGGTGTACATAACCTTCATATGCATGTGTGGGAGGGGGCAGCAACATTTTCTGGCACTTGAATATGTACTGCACCTCGTAGTTGGTCGTTATGAAAAGCAGGTGAATTTTCTCTCATTTGATCATCACAGGTAAGGTGGTGTTTTTATCTTTATTTTGTGCATGTAGAAAGCCAGGCCAACAGGTCGAGGGTTCTAATCCTTCTGTAAGGCATAAGCCAGTGACCTCTGACCCTGGGTCAGCGTTATCTCCAGCTCCATGGCTGCTGGGGCCTTGAGCCTTCTGCCTGGGATTTGGGCTCTGACAAAGATATTCTTTCTCTGTGGTTGGCTTAGCTGACATTTCATTTTGTCTCCTCGCCCTCCCTGCTCACATACCACAGAAGTGAGTGTTTCAGGGCATTTTTGAAGTATTGATTTCCAGTCAGCCACTATCCCAAAGCCCCTACCACGCACCCGTTCCTATTTGCCTCCCTTCAGTCAGTGCACATGGCAGGTGGAGAAGCCCCCCCCCCCCCCCCCCCCGGTCTGTTCAGGCTGTTCATGAGCAGATTGTAGAGTTACTGCAGCTATGAGTCAGTGTTAGGAAATCAGCCAAGAAATGCGGATGGTGTTTGCTCCTTTTAAAAACTAAAAACAATTTTTTTTGGAAGCAGAAAGCCATAGATTTGTATCATTTCATAT